CCTGAAATTCGAATTTGGGGTCTGTATCGTGGAATGCCTTTCATCTGTCTGTAGAAACGATATATATAGCCAAACAGAGCTGCCCGGTAAACCGTAGGCAGAGAGGGAGAAGAGGACAACAAATGAGGGGCTGTGGCAAACTGTTTCGTCGGAGTTTCACCGACTCACCAGGATATATATATACACTAGGCTGGGCAGCACGCCCGGCCGGTTGGGCCTGGGGGGGTCCGCCCGGCGAAACCGGGCGACGCAAAAACACAGCAAGGAATTTTTTTTTGATGGCGGAGTTGTGCTGCGCCACCGTAGAGGACCCCGAATCTGCAATAAAAAAAGTGAACTTCGCGGGGTGGGGGGGTGGGGGGTCTGGGGGGGTGGTCTGGGGGATGTCACAGAGCATGACAAAGAATAAGGGGAAATAAAAACAAAAGCAAAAGGAAAATTAGGAAAAAAAACGAAGAAATGGGGGGCTACTCAATGTATCTGAACCCTGTTTCTTTTGTGATTTTTACTATTTTTTCGTTCTACTTGTTTCTTCTTTTCCCGTCAGAATGACATGAAATTTGGCAATCACATACTTATGAGCAGGGGAATCACCTCACAAAAAAAAATCATACAATTAAACTTAAAGCACCAGTACATGGCCCAGCCAAGTTGAGAATCCGATTGAGCCTCTCCTAAAATTTTGGAGGCTCACGTGCCGTCGATAAAATAAATCGACGGCGGGCAGCCTCCGAAAGGGGACCGCGGCCGATGGCTGGCATGTACTGGTGGTTTAAGCCTACAAAATGACTGCAGCAAGCTCCGAACCTGCGAACGCCCAGGGCTTCTGAATGCCCGGCAAAATCTGAACGACGGGGGGTTGGGAGGGGGTAGACCTCGCCGAACGTTCAGTCCAGTAACACTATACCACAGTGTTTATTCGTGTTTGCTCCATATGTGTAATTTCTTGAAAACCGATCTGCTGCCTATGTGTCTTAAGTGACACGATCAGGCACTGACCTACTATGTCATGCAGGCAAAGCCGCACTGGGCCTTTTTTTTTTTTTTTTTTTAATGTTCTTAAAGACAAAAGACCCCAGGGCCAAAATCACAAACAGATGGTCTAAAGTTCTCGAAACTAATTGGATCAAAAGCCAATCAGATCTCCCAAATCCCGTGGAAAAAAATCGAATCCATTCGCCACGTTGAAATCAGGAGCTCCCAATGGCTTACATCCATATTTGTGGCGCATCGACATGCGCTGAACCCCGCACACGCGCCGCACCGTGCACCTCGCACGACACGCGCACACGGGGTGCGGCGCACCCCGAAAATAAGGGGTCGACGAAAAGAAAAAAAAAGTTGCCGAGGGGTGCTCTAGGCCCAGGTGGGATGTCGTGTCACGAACCACACACACAAAAAAAAAAACAATTTGAGGCCGCGCGGGGCCTCGGAAAAAAAAAGGGGGGGCAGCTGAAGTTTGCTTTTGAAGTTTTGAATTCGGAATGCTGCCCCTCGCTGCCTGGATGAACCCCGGTAGTCCAGCTTTGTGCCCTTCGCGCCCGCCGTGCATTGCCCGTCGCATGGTTGCCTCCACGTCTCCTGTGCAGCAGCAGCAGCCGAAGGCGTCGTCGTCCAGCCATAGCCAGGGCACAACAGTCATCGTGAAGGAGCCGAAGAAGCAGCGGGAGGAGCGCGGCGTCAGCTCTTAAAGTTGCCAGGTGGGTAACCACCAGCCCCTCTCTCTCTCCCCTCCTTCCTCTCTCTCTCTCTCTCTCTCTCTCTCTCTCTCTCTC